GCTGCTAGCTCCCATGCCATAAAATCGATCTGGGGATTTCCCAAAATTAGGGGTACCTTTTTGGGGGTCCCCATAATAAGGATTATAATATCTTGGGGTCTAGATTGGGGTCCCCTTATTTTGGCAAACTACCATATCCCTAATGTGTCTAGAATTTTGAAGGGCGGCCCATGTGCTCCGCAGTTCGGTAAGGTCCGATTTCGCCTTCCCCGAAGGCTTGGAGTATTTGCTGGTGGCCGAGGAGGAGGGATTTTTGCACAGACTGCACAGAAAGATATAGCGATGTTCCATCTCTGTTCCCAAAAAATTGATGTTTGCTATCAATTCGTGCCACGCTCTTGCAAGGAATAGTGACTCGCTATGATGCTTATGCTTGATGGGTTTCATAGCTAGTTCCTGGGGATGTTGATTGATCTTGGAAGTTGTCGGGATTTCTTTCATTTTGGTGAATCCAGATCGTCCTTGCATGCAGCTCATAGGCTTGGATTCCCAAATCAGGGCCCCTGGTTGCAACAACTTCTCATTTTGGGTTTCTCCAGATGGGGGGGTCCCAAAATCAGGTATCCATGTTTGGGTTCCCTCATAATGAGGAGTATCTTGGGGTTATATTTGGGTCCCCCCCAATATGAAAGTTACCAAAGAACATTTATGTGAATCATTCCCCCAGAAGCAATCCTTCCTTCCATCTGCTTTACTAGCGGTTAGTCGGGAATAAGGGAATATAGTATATATGGATTACGTGTATGATCTAAGCTCCTCAAAGGGGGTTACATAGGGGATTATACCGGGGATCATCATGGGCCCATGGGCCTATTAAAGGGGATACTCAGAGCTTAGACAAAATCTCAGAGTTTTACATTCCAGTACTCTCTGCTAACCTCCAGTATAAGTCTGGGGCAGGACGAGGAGTCGTCGGCAGAGCCACCGGCTTTGAACGAATGCCCACTGGGCTTCTTTGGCCACAAACCTAGGGCCCTAAGGATCCAAACAGCCCAAAGTAGGTATTTTTACTTATTTACACGGATCTCCAGGGAAATGTAATGTTTATATGGGTGGTTGTCAAAATTATGGTCTCTTATTGGATCCCTAGTAAAATACGGCACCGAATATCTAGGGTACCCAAAAAGGCCTTGACAACCAGCCATATGGGTGGCCATAGTCTTATTCTTCGTACCTCCAGCTGCTTCAGGACGAGAAATACCAGTATATTCCGATGCTTGCCGACCCTGCTCATATAGGATCGCTGCAAATGATGTGTAGAGCTGGAGCCGAAGCTACAGGGAGCCAGCTCGTGCAACTCCTTTTAATGACTCGAAACGACACGCTATTCCGCGCATAAACCTATGCAAATCTAAGGAGAGTGGAGGGAAAATGGCTCTCCAAACGACACAGAAAGTCTGACATGCGCACAGCAATCAATGAAGCAACCACGGTCTAGTCCCATCAATAGTTGCGCTTCCCAAAGCCCGGCACCACTGTAGCTGCCTCATGCTCTGCGATTGATTTGAGATTGCGGTGCTTCCTTTACAGTAAGAGTTCTTATACTTTGCGCACATACCACTACAGATTTCAAGCGCGTTAGATAGCAACTCCGCGGGCTACAATAAGCATCTTCGCAAGAAAGCTTATACCCCAGCCTTCGGGTTTAGTCCATATACTTCCTTATAGTTGCCCTACTACTAGCCAACATTTAGCTAAGCTCTGAAGCCCTGTTCTTTTCACTCCACAACACTAGGCTTCCTCTATCTGATCATTCTGCACGTTTATCGGGGTGTCAGCAACAATCCACCAGAGAATCCGACCGCAGAGCAAAAACAGCGGCTTCTTGGTAGCCAGTTTTGGTGCGCTTTGTTTTGATGACATTGAATTCGCAGGTTTGAGCCAGCTAATCCTAAGCTTTGGCACCCGAAACCCTAAACCTCAGGGGTTATATTACATGTGTATTGCTATTTGGATCCATCTCTCCATGCTCTCCCCGCCACCAGTAAGTTTCCCCAGCTCAGCATCAAGAATTGTGTCCGAAGACTTGCATGTTGCTACTCTCTTGCGGTGATGTCGGTATTTCTCCACGTCATCCTACTATATATATATATATAACCTCAGGCCCAGACCTCGAACAGCTGAATCATGACCCCCAAAAGGGCCCAACGCTTAAGCTAACAGGCCCCAAAGCTTACACACTTGAACCCTTTCAGCGAACCCTAAATCCCTCCTGAACCCTCACATGCCCCCTGCCAATCCTGAAGTATTCAGGATCCAGATTCTGCTGGACACCTATCCCACCTATGTCTTGGCCCTCACACGTTGGCCCATCTTCCCTGCTCTAGCACACTTTTCTGAGTTCCTTGGACGTTCTTTTGGTACGAGTGTCTGACAGATGTTGTTCTAGGCGGTCTAGCGTGTTTCATGTGGGGTCTGGTGTGTAGGGGCTTTAGGATCTAGGCATTGCATGGGTAGGCCGAAAAAGGGAGCATTTGTCATTTTCCGCAACCAAAACCACGAACTGCGAGGTTTTACTTCACAGAAGAGGAAGACCTTCTTTGTGAGAAGGTTGTTGGCGTGACCGACTGGGCCAATTGCAGACAGCTTGGCGCCTGGGTTAATATAGGAGATATGACTGCAAAATCAAGGCCAGGTAAGCCAAACCCGTCCAAAGGTGCATCTTCCATGAGGATTGACCTAAACAAGTAGGACGAGAATCACATGGGCTTCGGGTAGTTAAAAAATTCAGTACCATTGCTAGGAGAAGTATCCTCATAAGAACCCACACTGTAGTAAGGATGGCATTGACCCTAAACCCTAAACTGCTGTCCTCTGCGAACCCTGACATCAAGGCGTGGAGTGGATTGAGCACTACTATATGGAGGACTTCGAAGGTCGCAATCAAAATTGCCCCTAAACCCTTGCAAGCTTAAACCACAGGACCTAAACGACGCAACTTAAGCCCCAAATCCCCGCACTCTAAGAATCTACGAACTTCACCTTCAGCTTTACCCCAAACCCTAAACCCCAAAACCCTAAACCCTAAACCCCCGAACTTCCTGGAAGGTCGCAACGACACGATAAACAGCCTGCTGGAGGCTGCTTTGGAGTGCAGCGATGAGATCATGAAGTCCTCCAAATCGCTGCACGGCTTCATGGTACCCAATAGGGTTGCGGGTTTTGGGGTTTAGGGGTTTAGGGTTTAGGGGCCCCCCAATAGTGGTGGATCAAATGGAAAAGCAAATGGAAAGTTCAATGGATGCTTTGTATACAGGGGCTACATAGGGATGATATATAGTCTTTCCTTCAGGTTTACAGTCAAGGTTCAGGGTAAAGTGCTTAGGATCCCGAATGGCAGGGCTTTCCATCCCAAAAGCCAACAAGGCATGAGTAGTTTGGCAATGGTACCTAAACTGCCCATTATTTGTGTACTTGAACCCTTGGTGTCTAGGAAGGACCTGTTTACATGCCAGCGTGCAAAGTTCAGAGTGCGTTCCTTGAGTAGCATTTTATTTGGGGATACTCAAGACAGCAACGTACTGTAAGATCATATCCTCCTTCCGGGGTATCGTAATTTATATGAAAAACCTTCAGTAAATTGTTTGGGTAATTATGTGAAAAATCTTACTGGCTTCAACGACCCCAAAAACCCTACTCCCTTGAGGTTTAGGCCGTAATTCGGTTCACTCAGTTGGAAGGTACAGGGTCGGCCCATGAAGAGTCAGATTTTGTCATGTGACATGTTTACAGAGGTCTGGTTAAGGGTCTAGGGTTTGGGAAGCCCTGAATCTTCAAGAGCGTGGCTGAGGCTCTACAGGGCCGAGCGTGAGTGTGCCGCAGGCTATCTGTTCTTTGCATCCACAGGCGGGGAAGCATGGGAGTAGCTTGACGGTTTGGCTCGGGGATCGTCGGCTTTGGGGTTGGGAGTTCAAAGGGGCTTCGTCGCCTGGGCTCAGAACCCTCACACCGTGAGAAGTCCAAAGCGTTCATATTCAAGATCCTAACTGGTACTACACGCGGGTAATCCCAAAGTTCTTTAGCGCCGCGCTGCAAGCACCCACATCTTTAATTTGCAAAGACACGCGGCCTCAAGCAGTCACCTTAAGCCGAGAACGTTCAGAAGCGCCAACCCCATTTGTGACCCTTTCTATCATTGCTGTCTCATGCCCATTTACTAATGTCCTTGTTGAACTTGACATTGTTATGACAGTGATACAGCCGCTATGATGCCCTTGGTCTTGAATCCCTTGTACATTCCCATATGTTATTTCTGAGGAAGACTTAGGGCATTCCAGAAATGGCGTAACGTCCCATGTTTAGGAGTCAAGGTACGTCTCCGCATATGGTCGGTTCAGAAACATTCATAGCACCAAGGATCCAGACAAACGGCTTCAAGGTTCAGATGTCAGCATATATCCAAGTTACAGAAATTTGGTTGCCTAAAGCCCTTTCTGATTTTCTGGTAGCTCAGCCCGTACATGCCCAAAACCGCACCCTAAACCTGCTAAACCCAGCACGCTGGTGCGGATTCTGAAGGTTTAATCATCGCTGCGGGCTCGGGCGGCAGGTTCACTCAAGACCTGCCACCGTATCTGTACGTTGTGGATCGAGTGCTCGGGGGGGGGGGGGGNNGGGTCAGGTTTCGGGCTCAAGCTCCAGAGAGTTGAGGGATCTCAGACTTTATTGGAAAACAAGTTTCAGCGTTGAGGAGGGTAAGCTGCAGACTGACATGTTCAACGAAGAGGGGCCCGTTTTGAGAGCTGAAGGTCAACATGTGATCCTTTACATACGAGGTTGGTGAAAGGCAAGATTTTGCTGACGGTATGAACTGTCGCGCTGGCTTCGCTACTTTTGCGACACTTCTTAAGCTTGCAATTGAAGTTAATTTCAAACATATCCGCACAGATGGACTTTGAGTCTTCAGAGTTGCGCTCTGGCAGGTGCTGGCGGCATTGAAGTTTCATACAGTAACGATTTCACCTTGGCCCGTTTGGCACGTCCTCGCTATTTTCGCAGACATGAATAAAGGGGCGTGGTACTTTGGTGGCGATCGCAAGTACATGCGACAGTACGGCGACTGGAACTTGAGGAATGATGAGCTATCACCAGTAGTCTCTCCTCGAAACATATTTCTGTCCGCGGAATGGATGGAGGAGGCCTCCAGAAAGGTGGATCTATTGCTGCGCATGGACCACGCCCGGTATGTAGAAACGCTCCAAGCAGACATGCAGCGCCGGGAAGAACATTGGGGACCATCGCGGCCTATCCTGCGCAGCTTGGTTGACGCTGCTCAAGCTGTGGCCGCTGCTTCTGAGCTGCGTAGCGTGGAGAGGAAGCTTGCATATGTGGTGTTGCTGTACGGTGGAGCTTGGGCATACCTGCTTGCACGCCTGGTGCGACATTTGTCGCAGTTGCGGGTGGTTCACCCGCTTCTTGTTATAGCCATTGGAGAAGACGCAGCCAACGCATGTCGAGAGCAAGCATCTGCAGAAACGTCAGTTGCAGACGTGCAGGTAATTTGCTGGATTCCAGACACGATGTCCCAGGTTCACCGCTTTACTTGTATCCATGGACTTCTACATCTTGGCATCGATGTCCTGTACACAGACATGGACACGTTTTGGCTCCGAGACCCCACGCGTCGAATACTTTCGTCCGCTTCGGATTGGGACACTCTTTTCGCTCGCCATGGGGACGCAGATTGCATCAACATAGGCGCACAGATACCGTTCGGACAACCTTTCATTGTGAGAATACTGGATCCGTCTGCAAAACATCTAGAATTCACAGTAAGAGAAATATTCCATGTCTAGCAGCACAGGCGTCTTCTACCTGCGAGCTTCTGCCAAGACAGCCCTGTGGATGTCCCAGTTTATGGCATGGTATCCTGATCATTGTTTCGACATGAATTTTGTATAGGTCTAGATTAGATCCCGGTATGAAAGGCTCACAGAGGAAGTGCTTGGGAAATGCATCTTAATGCCTGAGACTTTTGGGGTTGGGGTTTGAAGTAAGAACCAGCTGTGCTATCCATGTCATGACGGGCTGTTCCATTCATGTTTCCTTACCTGAGCTTTAAACCCATCCAGGTATCATGACCATGTCTTCGAAATTGACCAGCGCGGGCTCCACATATTCTCGGGTCTACCAACTGGGGAAATGGAGGTCTCTTACTATCCCAAGGACTGAAAAATTGAGAAGGTTATGCCCTGGCACTCCTTGTCTAATGTGTACTTGTACTGCAATGTGTAATGATCCGCGATTCTCACGATGTAGACTTCTTGCAGCCGCGCACACAAGAAGTAAACGTCCCTTCGTAAGTAGGACTAGAGGCATTCAGCATTGATGTCTTTATTGTCATGGTCGCCGTCATAACCTTTCTATCACCGAAGCCTTTCTGTCACCATGATTGATGCGAACAAACACTCGCCTTATCCTCGGTCCTCGGTACTGTTCTCACACTTCTTCATTCACAGGACTTGGTACAGCTTCGCGGATCTGTTTTGAACGATACGAATGAGGTGGTCATCGGAAGGGTGGGCTGGCAAGGCACCCTCTCGAGGCAGGAATTTCGGGAACTTGCTTCGTGCAGTTGTTCTGGGAAGGAATGGACACATGTCCTAAGCCTCCAGCCCCAGATCCTGGACCCTAAGCCCGAATGTAAATCTTTTGCCCCTATAAATCTCCCAACTAGACTCCAGACCTTACATCCTTACATCCGAACGCGGAGCCCTCAGAATTGCAAAAAAGACTTCCTCTCGAGGATGCTAATCTTCCACTGGTGTCATGAGCCCATCGAGCTCAAGGAAGGCGAGTTGAATGCAGCTTTCGATGCTTCTGAAAGCCTGGCAGCACACAATTTGCCAGTATCCTTGGCTCTGAGGCTGTAGTTCAGTTTCGGGTTCAGGGCTTAGGCTGCGTACTGTGATTCGAGGACTTAATGAGTTCGTACCTGCTAAGTTTCCCTGATCCTCCAATTCCACTTTTGTTATACGTGGTTTGTAGCGAATGAGGTTATGAGATATAGGGCCTGTCATTAAAGATTACATACTAAGCACTATAGCCTTCCAATCGTAGTCAACATTGTTTGATTTTGGTTCGCATCCAGCAGTCAGCTCTAAACTCTAAACCCTAAAACCCTAGACCCCAAACCTTAAACGCTAAACCCTTCATCCTAAAACCAAAAACCCCAAAAGCCTGAGAACCGCAAACCCTGATTTCTTAGCAGCTTAGGCTCTCTCAGTTGTCTCTGGTGCAGTGTCTGAGACTCGCTGGGCATCCGTGTTGCACCTGCGGCGCATCTTTGATGCTTATGAGACGAAAGTGCCGATCAACCGAACCCCTTGCTGGTAAGCAAGTGTCTGACCATTATGTGGCCGTGCGCAGGTTTTTGGAGCTACTGTCAGTCAGAGTCAAAGCTCTGAATGCCACGGGAAGAGTACATGCCGTTCCGGCCATACGCTGGAGTCAAACCCTTGCCCGGTCCAGTCGATTGAAAGTTTCGGTGACCACTGCTACGAGGCCTGAGCAGCTGGAAAGCCTAGACACATTGAGTTTCGATCTGCTCTGGTAGTCCTTAATATACCCCCCGTAATGGCCACTGCAACCAATTCCCCAATTCACTACAACACATCAGGTAACATCTGGAGATCATGCGCTGCAGCGAGCTAGTGGGCGGACGACAATTTGAGCTCCAAGCAATTTCAACTCTAGGCCTGCGTCTTGCAATACTTTCCTGGACGGTCCGGGGGGCCTAGTAAGTAGGTTGATAGCCTCTATAACCCATTTAGTAACCCGACTTATCCTGAATATAAACCTGCTTACTAGGTCCCACTGGGCCTCCAAGTTCCCTGGTCCGAATCAAAGAGCCTTAGTCTTTTTCCCTTATCTTGATGCTGGGAGGGCCTGTATAATGAGCATCCCAGTTTCTGAACGGCTCTGCACAGACCGAACTCTGCGCTTCCCTCAGGACATACTCACATCAGCCAGCAGCTTCTGGCGGGATAACACCCAGTTTAGCAGTGAGCATGTTCTCAATTCCAACATCTGCTCAACGGTTGGTGATATTTCCTATGTGACGTAACTGTCAGAAGCAGACCTATCGAACGTTGCGACTCAGCAGGCAGTTTTCTTGTGAAACCCCCACACCCTAAACCCAATTCCATTTCAACAGTATATTATTAGTCCCCACCCTCGCAGTGCGGTTGTTAAATTTTTAAGTAAATGTTGTCCTCGCCACTCGGAAGCTGACTTTAGTGACCAACCAGTATCCCTGCAATGCTTAACGGATATGCCCAACCGCAAAGTATCCCTGCAGTGCCCAACCAACGAAGTATCCCTGCAACCACCAAGTATCCCTGCAGTGCCCAACCATCAAGTATCCCTGCAGTGCCCAACCAATGAATATCCCTGCAACGCTTAACAGATATGCCCAACCGCAAAATATCCCTGCAGCGCCCAACCACCAAGTATCCCTGCAGCGCCCAACCGCAAAATATCCCTGTGTCCAACCGCAGGGTATCCCTGCAGCGCCGGCCCCAAGTATCCTTGCAGTGCCCAACCACCAAGTAACCGCCACGTATCCTTGCAGTGCCTCATTGCCAGAATATCCTTACACCTCCTGTTCAGAGAAGAATAACGCACGCAGCGCCTGGGATGTCGAGCCGGCATGTGGAATCCTTGTGAGAAATGCCGTAGCTGTCCATGATCCACTGTAGGTGTTGAGTTGTTTCTGGTATTCTTAAGGGTTTGCCTGGGGTCACGTATTGTCCAGATGAGGCCTCCTCTTCTGGCACAGCTCTCTACACATGAGCACCCTCCACAACATCACCGAAACGACCTGCAAAAGCATGAACCTTTGCAGCTTGCTACGCTTCTTCCGAGCCATCCTGATCTTGACGTCACGCTATGCCCTCAACGTGGCGGGCCAGTTGAGAGGCTAATGTGGCACCCACGTCAAAGAGCTCCAACAGGTGCACCGCACGCTAACAGTTGGTTTTCTCCAGACATATGCTCTGGTCAAAGTGCAAATGGTGTTGAGAAGCAGCATGAACTCAAGGACGGGCAAAAGCTAAGGCGTGGAACGAGAGGGTGCTCAGCAAATCTTTGTAGTGGACTTATGCATCCTCTTTGGCCAATGATGTCACTGGGGTACAATTTGCTGGCAGAGTAGGCGAACTTCCGCCGCTGCCATGCGTGGACCAGCCTTTCATCTCTGCTAAAGGCAATCCGCATGAAAGCTGTCAGTGCAAGCATTGCAGCGTGCCCTGCTGAGCAAAAGATCTGCCTGCAGACGCCGCATGCGCGCGTGTTGTCTGTGCACGTGCAGACTCTACCATAGCAATGTGAATATGTATATGGCAGCTTGTTGAAATTTAAGTTTGTTTTGGGTCCCCAGTCTGCACCTAACATTTAGAATGCCCAAAAACGGCACCGTAATTTTGACCCCATATCTTGTTGTTGCCTGCCTCAGTGCTTTTAAGCAGATATCATGGGGCCAAAACATTGGGAAGCCTTGGGGCCAGCAGCTCAAAGAAATCCCAGCTCATCATGAAATGTTGTATGTATGGAACCCAGGGTATGGGTTCCTTTTGAAAGAAGGGTCCCCATTAGCCCCAATTTGGGGGCAAGGATTTAGGACAGGTCCTGCAAAGGCAGCCTACAAAGATTGTTCATCTTGAGGCCAATGACTGTGATTCGTAGCTTGTGCAGCTCATGATGTTATGGATGTTTCCCCGAGCATTTTCGGCAGCTGCCACAGCATTTCTCACAACTTTCTTCTCAGCCCTGCTATTGCTCATGGTGTTGATATCAGGTGATCCTTTGCCTGAGCAGATTACTTAACGGAAGACAACCAGGCACTCCCTGATTTACAACAAAAAAGTGCACAATCTCTGGAGCAGCATGTTAGGGTCTGTGTGTCACAGCAGGACTCTTGACTCCCTGTAGGTTAACAAATCCTATAACCCCTGTAATAACCCGTTATCCTCCCACCTAAAAAGGGACCATAATTTTGACAATCCCCCATATAACATAGGCAAATGTATTCAACAATGACCCTGGCTTAGGTGACGGTTTAGGGCCTTGGGCTCGTGAAGGTTAAGGGCTACGGCAGCTAAGCTTTACCATAAGGCCCGCTAGTCGGGGACAAGACGATTGCCGAAATCTCGCACAAGTGCTTCGGAAAAACTTTCTGATAGTCTTCCGGGATAAGGTTCCCGAGCAACCTACTTCTGCCCAAGTTGCATTGAAGAATGCTACCACGAAGCTTGGATTCTCGTGTCCATGGAGATCCTAGAGAGAAAGGCTGCAGAATGAGGCACACTCAGTTTTCGTGGATGTTGTCCCCATATGGAATGGCCTTCCTGGCTTCAGGCTTATGAGGGCACAGATGCCTCCAGTGATTTCTTGTTTGGATGGCGGGAATTTCTGTAAGCGATATAGGGAACAATCAGGGATCATGGAAGATAGATTAGGATAATATAAGGCCTCTATATATATTTTTTTTGTTTCATCACCGAAATCCGTTTCTGTTTTTATTTCAATCTTCGGATATTGCTATAATGAACTTGCGAATCTATTCCTGCGCTCCCTTAGCTTAAAATACGAAAAAATGAATCCCAACCGTAAATCTCGAATCCCTAAACCGAAATCTAAAATCTTGCATTTATATATCTCTATTGATCGCTAGAGAGGGGAGCATGCTCTCGAAATATAATATTCTATCAGGAATTTCAATGATTTTGTCATTCAATCCTAGAGCTCCTGAATTTTGGATTGAAATTCAGGGATTTTACTGGTAAAATGAGAATATGGATTACTCAGGATGAGGATTCTATGAAGTCGATATTTTGAGAAGCCAATATTTTTGATAGGAGTCGGACATTTGGATAAATAGATTTCAGAGAATATTATATCGATGGAATAAAATATCGATATTACTCAAATCGAAGGAAAAAAATAGAATCTCTGATAGATTCATTTAGATTGCGAATTTGATTGTTCGTCATTCTGAATTTAGGAATTGGTCTGAAGGAAAATATTTTCATCGTAATCTCGTAATGCGGCAAAAAAATTATAAAGATTCGAAAAATCTAGAAATATAGATAGATTATGCGTAAAATTTTCGAAGATATAAATTTCATAAGATATCTAGATATATTATAGAAAAAATATAAAAATAAATTGGAAAATTAGAATTCTCATGAATGATAAAAATGATTCAAAGAATAAATTGTAGAGATTATATTATTTTTGATATATTCTTATATGACGGAACAAATTTTTGAGGACATTTAATTGGCGGACGATTTAGATGATCCGATTCATTTTTTAAATATTTTCTAGGGTCTCTAGAGACTCTATTCGGATATAGTAGATAAGTTGGAGGATCTAAAATCTTCTAGTTTTTTTGTGCGGGCGATGTTATTAAAAATCTCGGGGATATTTGGTTATGCGGTCTTTAATTGGATTATGTTGCCGCGCGATTGATATCTCTTTAATAATTTCTGTCGGCTATTTTATTTAATGAATTTATACGCTCCCTAGGCAATACGAAGATAGCTTAGGAAAATGAAGATCTTTTGATTTCTCGATGGGCCTAATTTTGGAAAATAAGATTTATAGATATCTTATGATCTCTGGAGATATCTAATCTTGAAGCTTAAAATCTTTTGATCTCTTGAGGCATTTAATCTTAATAATTACGAGATAAAGATCTTTTGATTCTTGGAGGGATGTAGCCTTGAAAATCTAGATTTTTTGATTTCTCTAAGAAAATGATACGTAGCAATTTGACCAGATTTTCTCTGGTTTTGATTTGCAAAAAAAAAAAAATAGGGCAAAATCCGGTCAAATTGACGCGCCTAGTTTCTTGAAGAAATGATATTATGGGATTATATTTGTATATATGGGTTCGGATATGAATATTGCTCGGAATTTATATCTAAGCGCTTATATATATATATATATGAGAATATCTCCGTCTATATAAATATATGATAAATATGTATTTAAAGATAAAGATATATATATATAAGATAGAATTTTTATTTATGATATGATGATTTTATTTTCTCATAATATGAAATATAGCTCATCTAAAGGATCTGTAGAAATGGTCCTATATATCATAAAAATCTTTTGAAAATCCTATGAAATATAATCCTTAGAAATCAAGATCTCCTAAAAAGTGATCGTCAATCTCTGGACGCGAGATGGTCATTTTTTAAAATTTCAAATGGATTTGGATGCTACTACGATTATCATTGTTATTCTATTGCTACCTTTGCCATTATTATTATTAAGAATATTATTCTTATTTTCCAAGAATCACTATTATTCATCGGTCTATC